AGCCATATTGAATGCCGGGCCTTAGAAATAAAATTTTCCTCTAGAAGGTCTTTTACAGATTTTCAGCAGCCTCCACTTTCTCGGGAGACTGCCTACGTCTATGTTGCACTACTGCCCTTGCATCTGGACCAACGACTAGTTGGTGACAAGCGACCTCGGGGTCGAATCTGGGTATCTCTGCCGCGTTCCATGTGAACATGTCTATGTTCTCCCGTAAGCAAGCTTTGATCTGGTTCCTCACCAAGTCAGGGAGTCCAGTGCCGATCTTCACGCCTTTGTGAGGGTCTTCACCGAGGGGAACGGACTCGAAGTCTCCATCTGGGATGGGTCGGAGGAGTCCCTGTTTGTTGTTGGGGACTTCATCCTTTTCGAAGCGGGTGTCGAGCGAGATTGAGTCGACCTTGGTTAAAGCTCTTTGTTCCTCTATTCGAGTAGACTACGATTCAAGTCAAGCAGTAGTAGCTCTTTTGGCAGGTCGGACTCCAGTGTCGACCATGATCTGCCCCTTGGAAGCCGCGTGAAAACATCTTCTAGTAGCCGAGATGTCTCCGTGGATGGTGGTGACGTGCCCTCTCCGGGTGTAGAATTTCATCTTCAAGTGGATAGTGGAGGGCACAGCGGTCAATTATGCTAGCGTCGGTCCCCCTAGGATACAGTTGTATAGAGATGGGAAGTCGATGACCGAAAATTTCTCTTTGATATACCGGGAGGCGATTTCTTCCCTGAAGATGACAAAAATCTCAATGTATCCCCATGGTTTGGAGGTCAAGCCATTGCATCCTTGCAAGTCGGACCCCGCATATGGTGAAAGGTGGGTGTCGTAGAGCTGCGAGGTTCAGAACAAATTGTTATACATGACATCGACGGAACTCCCCTCGTTGATTGAGATGCGGTGTATGTTGAAATTAACCATTCTTGCTCTCACCAGCAGAGGGATGCTCGAGTTAGGGGCTCCTCCGGGCAACTCCTCGAGGTAGAAGGTGATTGGTTTTGATTTGTCCTTGACCCTCTCGAGTTTCACCGCTTGATTCGGGGCTGCGTTGACCAACTCATCGAGCTTCTTTTTTATGGAAAGATCGTTGAATCCCCACCAATTATAACCACGACGGAGGGGAATTTCTCCCATCTGTTGTGCATGGACAAATGTTCTTCCTCGTATTTGTTGGGGACGTAGAAGTCCTCTGGCCTTGTCACGAAGAAAGTTATGTGGATGGGGGCCGCCTCATCTGATAGTCGGGTTTCTTCCTCGGCCTCTTTTGTATCATGGGTATTTGACGATGGGAGTCATTGCATCGGTACTGCTCGAGTCTGCCACCCTTGATGAGGGTTTCGATAGCGTCCTTGAGGTGGACATAGTCTTCAGTCAAGTTCCTGTGACTCCGATGGTACTAATATTATTTACTCCTGTCAGCCCCAGGTTTAGCAGGGGCAGATCGAGGATGTTTGACGCCGCCGTCCTTGAAGTCAGTATTTGAGCACTCCGCCAGGACGCTCGCGGGAAGCAGTTAGTGGAGTGTATTCAGTGAAACTCCCTGCACGTCCCCTGTGCTCACGGGGATCACGCAGTTTATCATACCTTCGCTTCTCGCTCGTTCTTCGGGGAGGACCTGTGTCCTAGTGTCGCAGGGTGTTAGTCGGTCTGTGATTCCTCGGGTCGCAGGCTTTATTGGCCGCTTCCCTCTCCTCGTAGTCCATATAGGCCATGGCTTTTTCGAGCAGAGCATCGAAAGTCTGGGGTGGTTCGATGCGAACGACCTTCCTAAACTCAGTTCCCGGGAGGAGTCCTCTCTCGAGCAAATATCTTTTCATGTGATCGGTATACGGGACCTGGATGGCCTTGCGCTTGAACCGATCAATGTACTCCCTGAGGGTTTCGTCACTTCTTTGGACGATAGCCTCAAGGGCGGCCTCAGTCTTCGGATATCAACGAGACACTGTGAACAAGCTGATGAACTGGTTCTTGAGGTTTCTCCAAGGGGTGATAGATCCTGGGGTGAGATTTTTGTACCAGTCCATTGTTGTTTTCCTCAAGGTTATGGGGAACAACCGACACTTGATCGGTACGCTAATGTTATGATAGTAGAGCATCGCCTCGAACCCGTCGATGTGGTCGACAGGGTCTGCGATACCGTCATATTCCTTCAGTTAGGGAGGCTTCTCCATTCCTATGGGAATGAGCGCCTCCATGATGGCTTGTGATAGGGTATCGCGGGGGTCGTCTTCGTCGCTCCTGTAGGGAGAGTGGGAATGAGACCGGTTGTAATGACAGTCGTAGTGATGGCTTTGGCCTCGGGGAAGATCCCTTGTTCGAGGATGTGATTCTCTGTTGCCCCTGTTTCTGTTTTCAGGGGATCATCGTTCCCCATACGGGGGGTGAGTTCGCGTCTCCCGGTAGTTTCAGGCAGTGGTTTTTCCAAAGCGGGGTGTCTCCTGGTGCATTGGAGAGAGCGACTTCATGATTTGTCTCATCTGTGCCTCCGCGGGGGAGACTGAGGACGACATTCATTCTGACGGGGAGGTGGAGTGTCAAGTCTTATGTATCTTCTGGGGGCTCAACGAGAATCCTCGAGCACCCTTAATCGTTCACCTTACGAGAAGATTAAATAATTTGTTTGGTTAATGACCGCGCACAGATCCCTGGTCGTGGCGTCAGCACCCGCAGGGACGAGGACCTCCTGGAAAACGTCTGACTCATAGTTCTGAGGCGGATGCGCATCTTCGTGTGGTCGAGAGTGGGATGATGAAAAGGCAGTCATGCCTTCTTGTAGTTCTAACAAGACCGACCATGTCGATGTTGTTGTTGTTATTTCCCATGTTATCGACGACGTTGTTATTGGGGTCGGCGAGGTGGGCGTTTAGGTTGCTGTTGGCAGCTGGGTCGTCCATGACAATCACAGAGTTTGATGGTTGCTTTAGTCTTAGGTAAATGAAAGATGGGGAAGCTTGTTTCCCACAAACGGCGTCACTGATCATACCTGACCAGAGTGGATCATCAAGGCCTACGAGCTATGAGTTGAGCAACAGTTGTAAATGAGATAGGGGGGGGGGGGGGTACCTGCAAGACACTCTGATGCTAAAGTAAGGTTCAGAGAGAATGCTAGCAAGTATGAGAGTATTGAGTTAAAGAATCAATACCCGACCCTCTCAAGTTAGAGGGTATTAATAGCCCCCAGTGCTGGGCCAAAGTCTCCAATGTCGGGTCATGATGAGGCCCAACAATGAAGACAGCCATGACTTACGTGTGTATGGAGTCCAGCACGTGGACTCCTCCTGGTCAACTATTCCGAGAGAACAGGTGCTGGACCCGTGATTCCCGGATGACAGTTATGATGACGATGATGCGGACACGTGGGTCATGTTCCCCAACAGACACATGGATAGTTGCCCAATGATCCCCAACTTGGGCTGCTTGTCTTTAGGCCTTATGCAAGGTTGTTGAATTGAGCCTCCCCAACGGTGGGGCAAGCGCTGGCCCAGTCCAGATCAAAAGATATCTATTATAGGTCTGTGAGATCATGATCAAAATGAGGGAGATGAAAATCAAAGGATACCCCCATTTCCGCAATAGAAGAAGTTTCGCTCTCAGAGTCGCTCACTAAGTTAATAGTACTATCACTTATCTTGACTAGAAAATAGGAAACACTAAAAGAAAAGAAAGCTTGAGTTGAAGAGGGTTCATGGGTACAAAGTTGATAAAGTAAGAGCAAATAACAAGTGCAGAAACTTTGATAAGGGAACAAATAATGCCCTGATGAATGCTTTTTGTAATGGAGAAAATGAAGGTGTTTGCTAATATAGAGAATACGAACAAACTTGAATGCAAAGGATTGCGAAAAGTTTTTCTAAACACTTAACTCCTCTCATTTATAGGCAAAGACTAGTGGACAATCCAAATCAACAAAAAAGAGGAGTTACGAAATTAATAGTTGAATTTCTTCTTATGAATACATGCCCATCAAGTACACTCAAGTGCATTATAATTCGTATCATGCCCTAATTTGTTGCATCAACACACATGTTATAAAAGACAATGAAACATTTCAATAAGGGAAGTGCATTTAATATGCCTATTCTCCACTCCTTTTTCAATTGATTCCAGCATTTCAGTTACAACTCCCATCAGACAATATTTTGGAGGCCGACCAACAACATTGGCTTCCCTGACTCTCTCAATCTCATATAAATATATTGGGAGCAACTATTATGGCCGACTAAAGACCCAAATGGCTGAGGTCTAATTCATCTCAAATTCACTCCACTTGACCTACAGTATATAAGTCAGTTCACACTCAAAGCAAGATACATTCATCGGTCTCTACTTTTCACTACACTATTCTTGAATCTTGAACTGACTTGAACATTGAAGTGCTAACCATGCAACTTCACCCGTATTATCGTAACTAAGATTAACACTACTGATTCAGATCATCAATTCATCAATTACACATAATTTAATGGTTAAGATTAAAAGATATTTTTAATGGTTGAGATTAAAAGATATTTTTAAAATTTGATTAATGATTTCTCTTTCTTATTAATGACACATAATTTAGTGAAAATCTCAATTTAATCTTAACCTTTCATTTTTAACTCTAAAGGTTCTTATTCATTTTCACATTCTCTTATAACTTACTCATTCTCATATGATTTATCCTATATATATACATAAAAGATAATTGAAAATAACTAGATAGATAAATATAATAGTCTAAGTAAATAAATTGATATTTTCCAAATTACTAAAGAAAAAAATTGTAAAATTGAAACATAATAATGAAATTTGAAAAAATCAAATCTTTACTAGTATTACTTTTCACATGGAAACTCAAACCTCATTATGAGTGGCCAATTAGACTCGTACAAGACTTACACACAATATATACTAAACAACAACTCAACAAAATTTCGTTTCATATCTTTCTCTGTAACCGTCACCGATAACTTAGCTTCCTTCTCACTCCTCGTTACCTCTGCCGTCACGGCGGTGAGGGTTAACGTCAATGTCATCACCTTTCAAAACCCTCACCGTCATTGCTTTCCACAAACAGTTCATCGCCGACCACCACCCGCAACGCATAATCACTGACTCCACACCCTCCTCCTCAACGATGCAAAAGAGACCTAAAACGACGTCGTCACGGTTACAATTCTTTGTTCGGATGATGTGGGAATGTGACTCCTTAGTGATTCGCGCTTCGAGAGAAGACACAGTGGAAACGCTTTTGATACAGATTTCGTTTAAGATCAAAGTTCCTGATGTTTATCTAAGATTAATATATAAAGGAAAACAGCTGCAGATAGAACAGAATCTTGGTGAATGCGGCATCGAGAACGATGCGAATCTTCAATTGGTTGGACGTTTGAAGAGTATAGCGTGTCCTGTTGTGTGGAAAGGCACACAGAGAGTTGTTTCTGTGATTCTCCGTCTCTGTAGAAATGAAGTGGTATGTGATGCTGAAGGTCTTATTGATAATCACTTCAAGAAGTACATGGACAATCCTGAATATTTTGGTGTTTTTATGTTTATGAAAATTCCTGCGTTGTTAGTGAATCTCTTAATGTCTCCTTGGGTATCTAATAAGACTATTGCGGATTCGTCTATTAAGCAATTTGTGCAAAAGAGTTTAGAAATGAAGTGCAAAACGTTGCAGGGTTTGTACATTGAAGTTGTCTTGGAGTTTTGTGAATTGCTTAGAGGGGTAGGGTGTACGTCTGATAATCTTTTATATGTTTATTGCCGTGATAGTTTTGCAACTTTGTTGGGGCATGTTGGTGTTATCTTTAGGAATTCGAAGCGGAGGGTTTTGCTTCAAGGTGTTTCTTATTGTGTTCGTGAGATTGCGGATGGGTTGTTGAAGTATTTGGATTTAAGTATGAGTTGTGTGACTTCTGGGGAGATTTCGTGCTCTGATGTTCGGGGTTTTGTGAATTTCTCGACACCTTTGAGGAAGGGAATTTCCGAGCAACATGGTGAGTCTGAGGATTGTGGAATTTACTATGCGGAGCATCCCTGGCTTGCAGGAGTAGTTGATCAACTTCGTATTGTATTTGATCAGTTATTGAGCAAAATGGATGAGTGCCTTCAAGTCATGGAGAATTGCTTGGGTAACAAGGAACAGGGAGAAGGGGATAGGGATGCTATCCATAGTGGGAGGTCTCATTATCTTTACATCTTGAAGGAATTGTATCACATCTCTAAGCTCTCTAGCGGTGCAGAAGAGATGTTTTGGGGAGTTTTGTTGCGTCGAAAAAATATGCTATCTTATCTTATTGTTCGGTATGCGGAGAGAACTGATGATCATCGATGGGTTCTTGAGAACATGAGTGTGACCGATTTTGAATCTAGGAGGCATTTGGCGTTGATGCTATTCCCTGCCTTAAATGATGAAGTATTGGGATATGATATGCTTATTGGCAGGTCTCAGGTTTTGGGTGAATCTTTTGAGTACATATCAAGTGCTAAGCCTGAATCTCTGGAGGGTGGTCTATTTATGGAATTCAAGAATGAAGAAGCTACAGGACCGGGTGTACTGAGGGAGTGGTTTGTTTTGGTGTGTCAGGAAATATTTAATCCAAAAAATGCTCTTTATTTGGCATGTCCAAATGATCAAAGGAGATTTTTTCCTAATGCTGGTCAGTTTTCCATAATTTTTCTCTTCTGCTTGCCATGCATTCGGAGTATTTTCGATGGCAATTACATTGTTCTCGTTTTCTTAATGCTGTTGACAATTACATTGTTCTCGTTTTCTTTTGACAATGATATTTCTTAGGATAATAGAATGTTGATGCAGTGTTCAAGGGCATAAGACTCTTCTGCAAAATAATTATTCAATAAGTTAGGTCCCTACAGAGCAATATGTTAGTTCAAAGGTTAAACACAACCTACTCCATAAGTTACAAAATGATAGACTTCAGCTGAAAGGCTGTAAACTTAGTGGTAGGGTAAACACCCCAATAATTTAGTTGAGGCTATCTCATTTATTTCTCTATCAGTAGCAATGGTTCCTCATGGTTGTAGAGGTGCTTTATTAACTTTCCGTTTTACAAGGGACTTCTGCCTTTGAAACCTCTTTCTTCTCCCTAAATAGAACTTCATATCCGGGTTGCCATTGGTGATTCAACTCACCAAAACAGGGAGGTGTCCAGATTTGATAAAACTTGACAACCTTGCAACAAAAGGTTGTTAGTTAGGAATTGATTGATCACCGTAGAAATCATGTCTGAATATTTTTAAGTTGCGTATGTACTATACTGTTTAAATAGACTATTTTAAATCCAATGAGTCTGAGTAATGAGCCCACTGTGGTAATTATAAATTATAATTATATGTTATTTAAAACACTCTTGAAACAAATGGATATATATCCATCCGTTCCAGCCTGCAAGTAGGTTGATTGAATTGTTTTGTCGGTAAGTCTTTTGTTAACACATTTGTTAGCTGATGCCTAAAAGGACAGTGGTTGTAGTTATCAGTGTATGTAGAATCGCGAGTCAACTTGTGAACTCGTCTGATCCAACGTGCCATTGTCATGCCGCACGAGTTGTGAAGTAAACTCGTTTTGAGTTCTGAGCTGTAGCAGTGCTCCTTTTTCTGTTTTTTTTTGAGAAAAAAGCCTAACTTTTAAAAATGGGCCTGGATCGCGACGAGTCATGATTAAAACCCATTTTTTAAACTATATTAAATCGAAATTCAGAGAGATACATGCCGTATATTATTCCTTTATTTCACAAATTACAACCTTCTCTTCTCCTCTCATGATGCCGTATCATTAATCCTTTGTCATGATTACAACCTTCTCTCACGAGAATAAGGTAAGTGTAGCAGAGATGGGGATATTGCGGTGGATGTGTGATAAGACTCGATAGGATAAAATTAGAAATGAAAATATTAGAGTGTCGGGGTCGCGCCTATAGTGGAGAAGATGATGGAAAATAAACTTAGGTGGTTTGGGCATGTAGAGAGAAGACCGGTAGATTCTATAGTAAGGAGGGTGGACCAGATGGAGAGAAAGAAGAAGAGTTAATATATTTTAATTTTCAGGATGTTTGAATCGGGAGCTCGTGACATCATGTTTGAATTTAGGTTGGAACTAACTCAACCCTACAAAATTGAATTTAAGGTTTGGACTGCTCCCTTACTAATTACATGTTCAAGCCTTATCTCTTATCTCATCCAATGTGAGATTCTTAACACACATGCTAAACACCTAGGATTGGACATCTGGAGCGTGACCGGTTATATAGCGGTTACTGAATAGCACATGGCCTTAAATAGGATATGATACCATGTAGAAATTATAAATTATATCTCAATATATTTTAAGTTGTGCATAGAGTACCCATACTAATTTGTTAAAATAGACTTCTAAACCTAATGGGTGGAATATAACTATTATAAATAACAATTACAATTACAAATATATGTTATTTATAACAATCAGAATGACATGTAATTTACGCTGTCTATCTACTGATTATGGTAATTTCTCTTAGGCAATAACTATTATATGTTCAAGGAATAGACTCAGTTATTACATAACTCTTTATATATTTTTTTCGCTTCTCCGCCAGTTTTCTATGTCAAAGTATCTTTTTTGTTGTGAGTTGAATAACAATTTTCCTGCAACCCAACCATATCCTAATGACTTTTCAACTTGAGAAGTGAATGTTCATTGGGATGGTAGCTAGCAGGTCAAAATCTTGATATCCAAACTTCAGAGCATCCGTATGACTTACTATTTTTTGATTTAGGATTTATACATATAATAATCTGCAGGATAAATTGTAATTCATGGAGTGAGATAAAAAAGGAAAAAGGAGTATTAAGTGAACTGGTGGTGACTGGTCAGTCCACCAATCAACTCTGGGTTTTGTGTAATACTAATATGTCTTACTGTAAAAGCTGAATATCATATATTTCGGTGTGAATAATATACAAGCACTAATTTTTTTTATATAAAATATTGTAACCTAATCAGCTTGACTAATGGTCTAAATACAAAATACTACTAATCATAGTAAAAATATATAAAAAATACATTATTCACAACACTTATCATTAGCATTTTGCCACAAAATTTGAGTTCCCATTGGTTAATTGGATCAGGAGACTGTATAACACTTGTATTGGTGTGTTTTTCCGTATATATTTTATCAATAGATATTATTGAAGAGCTTCTGTGCAATCATATTTAGTATATTACTCTTCTACTTGTCTGCAGCATCTAAGGTACATCCTCTGCACCTAAAGTACTTCAGCTTCTCTGGGCGTATGATTGCACTAGCTTTGAAGAGTAAGGTGCACGTAGGCGTTGTTTTTGATCGTGTGTTTTTCAAGCAATTGGCTGGAAACTATATTACTTTAGAAGATATTCGGGATGCAGATCCTATAATGTATCATAGCTGCAAACAAATATTGGAGATGAATGCTGATTATATTGATACAGATGTATTGGGACTGACATTTTCTGTAGAGGTGGAGGAATTAGGGTGCAGGAGGGTGATAGAGCTTTGCCCTGGTGGCGAAAGCATTGTTGTGGATAGTAAGAATAGGGAGATGTATGTTGATCTTCTTATACAGAATCGTTTTGTGACATCCATATCTAAGCAGGTATCACATTTTGCCAAGGGGTTTGCTGATATTATATCTGACAAAAGGCTAGAATTCTTTCAATATTTAGACCTTGAAGATCTTGATTGGATGCTGCATGGTAGTGAAAATGCCATTTCTGTTGAAGATTGGAAGGCACATACTAAGTACAATGGCTATAAAGAGATCGATCGACAAATATCTTGGTTTTGGGAGGTATGTAGGGCTGATCTTATGGAATCACATTGTCTTTACCTTTCTTTATCTTCACTTTTTATTTTATTTTCCCCATTTCCTTCATTTTTCAAATTCCTTGGCGAGTGTAAATTTATTATAATTATTTTCATATTGAAGAACAAACTAAATCAGTTTCCCCCTGTATGAATATTTTATAGGCAGACTTTATTAAGCAACATGTATCTGCTCTAAGACTTTCCCTGTTTCCCTCTCTCCTCTAATCTTGATTACTTGTTAAGCTTCCCCATTTCCATGACCAAATTGTGTCTATTTAAAAAGAAATTAATCAAAGAGGGGCAGAGGCATCACTTTGCAGCGCCTAAAAGGAGCATATTGTCAAACACAAAGGAAAAAGAAAATTGTAGAGGGACTACAAAATCCAATGAAATGGATAACACAATGCCTCATTAAAACCATATCAAGAAAACGTACGTGGTGGGATAAAACGGGATAAAACACGGCGAAGAAAAAGAGTGTTGTGCATACATAATAAAAACTCTAATAAAATCTGAAGTTTGGAAGACCACGACTATTTCTAGTAAAATCATCCCTAATACAAGTAGGTTAAGGACTCCACCTAACAAAACTTACCACGACTATTTCTAGTAAAATCATCCCTAATACAAGTAGGTTAAGGACTCCACCTAACAAAACTTTACTACTGAAACCTGCATTAGCAAGACTATCAACACAAGCAATCTTTTCTCTAAAGACATGAGACACTTTGAAACGAAAACTCTGATTAAGTTGAGACAGTTCGACTAACGATTTTGAAACATTTAAGGCACAATTTTAAGATTAGAAAAAACTTGAAACCCCATCATAGATAGGGCTGTTCATGGTACAGTTCACTGAGAAAACCGAATCGAACCGAACCAAACCATAATAAAAGTTCACTCGAACCGAACCGTTTCAGTTTACTCAGAACCAAACCGAACTGAAATTATTGGTTTGGTATACCGTTTCGAAGTTCCGAACCGCGCCGAAGAGTTAGAAGACAAATTTTCTCAAACCGAACCATTTATTAAAGAACCGAACCGTTAAACTATTTTCAAAAATTTCAAACTTGTTTTTAGTATTTTTATTTTCAGTTTCGGTTCTGTTCGGTTCGGTTTATTTGTCATATGATTCGGTTCTAGAACTGTTTGTACAATATGGTTCGGTTCACTAACCAAACATAACGGTTCGGTTATTTTAAGTTCAGTTTGGTTCAGTTCGGTTCAGTTTTTTTTAACAGTCCAAATCATAGAATCACATTCAAGGCATAAATTACACCAACCCTTAGCATGTGCCATTTCTCCCGCTAACACGGCAACGGTCAATTCCAGCGTTTATTGGATTAGTGATACAATACAATTGGTTGAGAAGAAAAACCTAGAAAAGAACCCTTGTAATCTCTGAAGATTCCAGCACAAGTAGATATGCAAGAGAGTCTCTAGAAGTATCATCAGTGTTACACTTAACCACTTTTGAAATCTACTTCTCTCCTTACCTGGTCACCAGTCATGCTCGAGTTCTAATCTATGCTCATTTAAATTATTCCTCTTTTCTAACCCTGTTAGGTTCAACTTTTGATTTGCTACATTTTGTATAAATGTCTCCCTTCAGTTCATGTATGCCTCCAAATAGTAAACATGTTTTTTACTGCTGCATGAAATCATGATTTTGATACTTGGTTTATAATAACAACCAAGTCTTTTTCAAATGAGTGTGGTTGGATTGATGGATCAAATGACACTAATACATGCCATAGTGCAGCCATATTTAACTTTGCAGAATTTTGTTAATATCAATGTTATAGCATGCAATTTATCTTATAGTTTCATGACTTCAATTTATGTTCACATGCAATAAATCTGCACAGTAAGTTCTCATGACATTTTTATATCATTATTATTAATAAAGAAGATAGTTTAAGTTATTATTTAACTAAAAGCAAGCTACTCAGTGTTTAATGTTTTAATATTATATTCTATCAAAAAATAACTTGGCAGATTGTTGGGAGAATGTCGGTGGAGCAAAAGAAGGTTCTTCTGTTCTTTTGGACATCTGTGAAATATTTACCAGTTGAAGGTTTCCGTGGTTTGGCTTCCCGTCTATGCATTTGCAAATCGAACGAACCTGAAAATCACTTACCCACATCTCACACATGTTTTTACGAGCTGTGCTTTCCCCCGTATTCTTCCATAACTATCATGCAAGATCGCCTTGGAATCATCACTCAAGAACACATGAGCTGCAGTTTTGGTACTCCGTAATGGTGAATAGATAAGTGGTTTTGAATCTTTTGATTTCACTTAGAAATAAAATACATTACTCACCTTTGTACAAATTAGGATAGGATTATTCCTTTGTCCCCCTCTAGAAATGATAGTCTAGAAGGATTTTTGTTCTGCTACTCTAATCAATTCTGGGTGGCATTGTCCTTGATCTTCTGTGCAGTGTTTATATGAGGGGGTCATGAGTCAAGAAAACAGGAATAAGCATTTCAATGAGTCCTACAATTAATTTATCATTCTTTTTAGTTCTGGTGACTGCATCCTCGTTCTATTTCTGTTCGAATAATTTATCTTTTATTTAATATCATAATCTTCATGAAATATTTATTTTTGACAATGTGAAGGAAGCAATGCAATTCCCTTTCACAACTCTGAAGATTTATGGAGTGATGTTAACTTATGACAGGCTCATTCTTTTAAATCTGAAGTATGTCTGGTGAGTTATTTTGTTAGCATATGTCTCCCTCTTCGTTTCAAGCTTCAATTGTTTTGAATCTTGAGGTCACAATGGAGAAAATTAATGTTACATCGAATTTTTAGCTTATAAATATATTTCTATTTAAAAAACATTACACCACTTACATTTAGTAGTGTATTGTTAATACTAACCCATTTTTTCCTTTCCGTTCCAACTCTAATGATTTTTAGAACCTCAACAGTATGGAGAACAAATTCTTAGGAAGATTTTATTAAGAAACATAATAAGATGATAAATTGTTGGGACAAAGACAAGAATATAAAATAAATATTATTTATTCAAATCTAGAGAGAAACACAGTAACACACCATGACAAACCTTCTTAAGAACTATAGCCCCTTATCACTTCAATACACAACTCATTGAATAGAGTTTCACATGTCCACCACTCAGCATGTATATATATGCTGATGTGGAGCCAAGTGCCATATCCCAAAGCCTTACCATAATAACAATAATAAACTTTAATAAAGGAAAGGAAACTAAAGAAATATTTAATAGAAAAGCTTTTCAACCTTGATGACATGCAAAATGGTAGACCCGATCCCAACAACTAGAACCATTAATTTAAACTTCCTTTTTTTTACCAGTTCCATTCACACCCCTTCCATTGGTTTAAGCTTCTGGATTCTCAACTGGAACTTCCTCTGCTGCTGGAGCTTCCACTGATTCAACTGATTTGTTCTCAATCACATCCGCTGCAGTTGCTGCTGGTGGTGCTGCTGACTCATTTTCAGTAGTTGCTATTGGCTCCTCCACTACTGCTTCTGCTTCTTCCTTCACTTCTTCAACCGATTCCTCAGTTTCTTTAGGTGCTTCCGAGTTCTCCTCCTTTGCTTCCTCTGTTACCACTTCCTTGCTCTCAACTTCAAGTGGATCTTGGGTTTCTGGAGCATCTACAGCTTCTTCTGCTGCAGCTGTTTCTGTTGGTTTTTCGGTTGTTTCTTCCGTTGGTACTTCGGTTGCGGTTGCAGGAACTTCGGATTCTGGTTGTTCTGTAGCAGGAACTTCAGTGGCTGGTTGTTGTTCTGGAATTGTTTCCTCTGTCTTGATGATCTCGGGTGTTGTTTCATTTTCTTGCACTGTTGTTGGTGGAGCTTGGTGTGCAACCTGCAATTAAGTACCATCTTCATTTAGCAAAATGTTGTAGTCTAGTATATACACAAATGAAACATCAAATAAATAAAAAACTACTCGGAGTATATATCTTCTAATGTGTTACAAAAATAAAGTGTTAATTAGTATGACATTAATAGAACTTAAACTACAAAAAAGTGGAAGAGTTAATCTGTTTTGCTTTGTTAGATATGTTGGGGAATGGTAGGTCTGCTGATCTGAACACAACACAAAATAGACTGCTTAATTACAGAACAAACTTAAGAATTTGTACAAGTAGAAAGCTTTGAGTATTAGATTATTCAAAGATCTTAAAAGAATAAAAAGGTCTACATAGGATGCTTAGCAGCAGTATATTATATAGTATATGTTTGATCTATATGATATCGCGTTACTATGATGTATTAGATGTCACAAAGTAGCTATGTATCTTGCCTAAAAAGAAAAAAGAAACTATGTGTCTTATTGAGTTATTTTACCTCAACACTGGCCATTTGGAAAGGTGAGAGGGATTGAAAAAAAAGCTGAAGGGTGTGTGAATGAAGAATGAAAAGAGAAATTAAGAGTGGTAGTGAGTGAGATGAAGAAGTGATCAAAGTTAGGGTGGTATATATAGTTACATAAAGTGATGAATAGTAGTAGTAGAAATGTACTACATGTGTAGTGTGGTGTGTGTGAATGATCACCTGTAAGAATCTTTTTCAACCGGATTGATCATGCCACTGACATCAATTAAAAGACATCAATATGTCTAGTTGTCAATGTTTTTTTCCTTTTGTTTATTTATCCCGGCAAATAAAAAATTCTATTAATTATTTTGATGCATGTATATATTGAAAGAGTTGTGCTATATCTTAAAAAACGAATCATACGATGGGCAAAGTAATAACTTAAAAAAAATATAAACATGGGTGTGGTTAATGTAATTCTTGCCTTTAGTTAACTCAGCCTTCATAACAAAGAGCGTTTCTCATATTGAAATGAAGTCTTTATCAAAAAGAAGAAAGTATTTCTTTGTATAATTGGTTATTCAAATGCAGCATAAATAATAACAAATATTTCAATATAATTGTTTATTCAACATTATTGCTATGTTTTAGGTTCAGGGTTTTATTCGCACCAACTTAACATCTCTGTTTTTCATAAACATAATGTAACCATTATGTTAAGTGTGACGTTCGAGCATATCTTTGTTATTAAAGCTTCAAACCATACCAAGTTTTCAAAAAAAAATTATATTAGTTTAAGTATTATGTTTGCTTAAAAAGTGTTGTATTAACAAGCTCACATGTAAGTTTTTTTTATATTATTATATTTTGCAATTTGTGCTTGCTGGTAAAAAAAAACAGAACTTTTAATATAGATTTTTCTAAACAGTTAATCAGTAATTAACTAGTTTGCGGATTAAGTTACTGTCTTGACTTATTATTGATCCAAATTTAACAATTTTGCAATGTACAAATTAGAATAGTACTAACATTTATTATTATATTTATTTATTACTTTCAATATGTTTAATTTTTTGTCTTAAACCTCAATATTTTTTGACAGCCCCCACCAGTATCACTTTTTATAGAAGGAGAAACTCTTTCTTGTTGAGTAGGGTTTCAATTTGTTGTTTGAGGGTGAAGTTTTTTGTGTTTATAGTAACACATTAATATATGTGTACTAGACACTATATTAGAGTCCACTCTTCCTTTCCCGGACCATACTAAAAAGATAGCCACTAGGCATACAAATGCAGCATAAACAATAAAAAATAGATAAAATAAACATAAATTCAATAAACAAATTGGGTGCCAAAATTCAATAAGTTTTATTTGATGTACAAGAACACACAGATGAAGTCTGAACCGTACACAAATTTAGATAATTAGTTATATTATTTTTCTAAGAGCACATTTATATTCCAACACTGTATTCAATTTGATAGCAATTTTCATCTTGCACAGAAACCAGGACCTTATATAATACTAATAAAAAATTAAAAGTATAGCATATATGTAGAAAAATACGGTTTAAGGGTGGGTTCACATATCATAATTGTTTTTCTAATGTTAGTATATTGATTGAATGTAGTAATTGGATCTTTTAATATTGGTTTGTAATTTAGTTTTGGTAAGCAAAAATTGAAATGACATTGAAGAGATTGAAAAGGCAAGAAAGAAACTAGGCCGGTGCATAATGAGGGACCCATGATGATTATTACAGTCCAAAATCGAAAGAAAAAAATGGACCCACTTGAGAAAAAAATAGGAAAGAAAAAACAAGAAAGAAAAAGAAGTTAATTGCGTGGATAACTTTTGGTTCCTTGAATTGATCAGTGTTATTTTTGATGCATAGCATTGGGAACCTATCCTTTCATAAAAGATAAAAGATGAAATATCCACGTGGTCCCACATGGCTATGCTTTCCACGTCGTACGCTCGTGACATGGGCCCTGCTACAGCCGTTCGATGCGCCATGTCAGACCATTATCATATTTTAAATAATTATCCTACGAGCCTGGAACATTACTCTCCAACTTTTTTAACTTTCAAATTTATCATTTTAATGTTATTAAATATTACTTATTTTTACTACTTCATTTTTATTATTTAATTCTTTTAAAAAAATAATCAATCTCTTAATATATTTAATATTTGTTTTTGTTATGTTTAATTTTTAAAAACTAATTAAGTAGAAGAATCATAATTTTGTTAGCAAAAGTTTCAATCAACTATTTAATAATTTCAAAGACACTCAAATTTTCAAATTTGATAATTTTTTAAATAACATTTACGATAATTCATTTTTTATGATCTAAATTTTGTTTAGAATGGCCTTTCAAGAAGCTTTAAAACACGAAAAATAGACTATTGAAAAAATTCTTTTAGAAGAATTTTGTAGGGTTTTTGAGAAAATTTTACAAAAATAATGTATTTACTTTAAAACATAAAAATTAAACTTCCGCTAAATTCAAAAAATTGTGTAAAAAGTTTTTAAAACACTTCAATTAAATACTCTCTTCTATTTAATATATTTACTTTAGAATATAAAAAATGAATCATTGGAGTCTTTCTGTCAGAATTAAAAATTGAAAATTTTAAAATTAATTACACTTTTTCTATTGTTCTAGTTAATTTATTTATTTATTTTCACCATCAATATGATCTGATTCAGAGGTTAATCATACTAAATTCAATGTTAATTACTACTAAAAAAATTAAGAATTAATTATCTTAGTTAATTGTGAAGGACCTCATTTCAATTTCTTTTTTGAACGCATTAGATTTATTGATCTGAATCCAATTTACCGAATTTAAATCTAAAATATAATATTCAGTTTCAAACTAATAATATCGTATTTATAAATAATATAGACAATTTAGAGGTTTAAATTCAAATCCGAAATATTATAATAATTTATAATTAATAAGTGATGAATTGCGCATGATAGGATTATATCACGAATCACGCTGCTAAGTTAGCCTTTGTCCTTTATTTGTATTTTTGTTTCTAATCGTACACGTATTATTGTTGTTTTGGTACTAGACACTATCATGTTGGCTATGAAATTATTAAAAATTAAAAACATTATCTTAGATCTTCATGATCATGCTCATCGATCTTTTTTAGTTCTATTCATAAAAAGGTAAATTGTTATCAAAATCAAGGTTTTAAAAAAGAAAAAATGGCCGCGATAAGATGCTAATATAATTACTTTTATTTATATCAATAAAGAATAGATTATAATTAACTTACACCTTTTATGCAAGTGTAACACGATCAACATCACAACACTACTAAAATTGCAAAAAGTTTTTACACAGTAGAAAACTTGATTTTCATTTTCATAAGAATTTGGAACTTGTCAAGACATTTTAACCACAAAATATGATCCGTTAAGCGACAAAAGTTTATGAAGTTTCAAGGGCGGTGGAGAGGCATGACTAATTAGACAGACAGCTACATCTTTGATGTTTGATATAGAACCGTTAACCTTAATATCAACCAATAAAAACCTGCCACGTGAGTGCTGACTAGGACCAACACATTCATGTCTAGCTGTCTAAAACCTAACCATTATGGGATTGATTCCTTTCCGTGGTAGAATATGTTGTAGAGTGAGCTTTCCAACCAGGTGACTGAATCATTCCAACGTGTGGGACCTACACTCATATTCTAGTGTTGCATAGATTCTTTTTCATGCATCATCTTCGTATATTCAATTCTTTTTTATTTTTGTGATGTTGTTTTTATTAAAGAATATTGGTTCCAGCGTGTAAACACGTAGTTTTGGGATGGACATAAGTGAGTCACATCTACATCTTCAACGTAAGCACTTCATGTTTTTCTCACTCAAATTATATAAATTGTTAGTGTGGTCAATCGCAATTTGGTTTCAGACAGCGATTTCTGACTTGTCGTTTTGAAATTTGCTGCTTCTTTGTAACTAGAGCAAGTAAGTGCCTAAATACATGCTGATTATGTATTTATCGACTGTGTTTTGATAATGAGATGACGAAAATAAATTTTACTAATGAGTTATTGCTTAAAAACTAATTTTGGTTAAAAGTAAGTTGATGATTGATACATATAACATTTTTATCTTTACACTTGAAATATAAATGCTTAAGACAACAGGTTTTTTAAATTTTTAAGAGACCAAATAAAATATGTTGTCGATAAACAATCATTCCGCCAAAGAATTAAATAAGTAGTCATGTTTTGTGCAAAATGCAGATCAATACTTGACAAGGCTGCTGCAAAGACCTTTAATGAAGTTCATTAAATAACTATGAGCCTCATAGAAATTGTAAGAATTTGTTTTTCTGGGTGAAGAGTATTTTAGAAAGTGAATAAAAAATTAATAGGATACCCGTGCGTTCGTACGGTATCGCGTCTGTGATTTTTATCGAAGTGCGAACGATAGGCAGAGAAGATAGAAGAGTCGCCATCATTGTTATTTATCTCAAGAGAGGGAAAGAAAATACTGAATAAACTTAAAAGAAGGAAAGTGTATGATCTCACGACCAAGAGAAAAGGGTAAGAGAGTCGATTACGCAAGGAAAAAGTATTAGCACCCCTCACGTCTGTGGTACTCCACGGGATCCACTCAAGTTTGTTCTAATCTAAGGGTGTATAAAAATCTAAGTCTAAAGCTTAATGCTAAAATGTATGCAAAGTATTTATAAAAAAGAAGGTTTTTATTAATTGTGTTTGTCGCGGTTGCGATACTTTTTGCCTACGTACCACCGACAATGCAATGGGGATCAAGACACTCGTAATTCTTCTGAATTTTTTTTTTGTTTGTTGTGTGTTTTTTTATGAGAATGATGTGTTAGACATTTCGAACGTTGAAACATCGACTTATTGGTTACTCGTAGAAGAGGCTTAAGTCGTTGAGTTTGCTTCGTATCAGAATGGTTAAAACACATTCGTTTATGAAAAGAGTTTTTAAAAGAAAAGCCAAGTGGCAAAAAGAAGTTTGAATTGATATGTGTTTTTGTTG